ATTCATATTGATCTTTTATATGTTTTTCCTCAGGCACATCCTTTCTTGTAGGTTTCGTAGCTTTATTTGTCTTCATGTACCTATTAAATTTCCTACCTAACATTGCCATGTCCTCCTCATTTTCACTTTCACTCTTAGTGCGCTTCTCTTTTTCCTCAACTATAGATTTGAGGGCTATTCCCTTTTGCTTGACCTCTTGTTTCTTAAGTTCTTCTCTCTCATTCTCATCTCGAAGTATCATTTCATAAGTAAGAAACGAACCTATGAGCTCCTATAACTTAAAGTCATTGAGGTTTTTAGCTTCCTCTATAGCAGAGACTTTAAGTCTCTAAGACTTAGTAGGCTATACAAAATTTCATGACAAGTTAGGCATTGGGAAAGTATTTCCCTAAAGACCTTAAACCTCTTACAATGTTGGTAAATCTTTCAAACATCTCATTTATGGACTCACCCTCTTTCATCCTAAAAAGCTCAAAATCATATATAAGCAATCCAATCTTGGATTCCTTGACTTGGTTGGTGCCTTTATAAGTGCTTTCTAAAGTGTCCTAAATTTGTTTTGCATTTTTACACATAGACATTTTATTAAACTCACTAACTCCTAAGGCATAAAGAAAAGTACTATAAGCTTTACAATTTATTTGAATTAATTTCTTATCTGTATCATCTTATTTTTTTCTAAACTTAATGATTACTTTACCATCTACCTCCTTACTTGAAACATGTGGACCATCTAATATGACATTCTAAACATCTAAGTCCATGGATTGAATAAACATTTCTATACGTTTCTTCCAATTAGGAGAGTTTGTACCTATAAAAAGAGGTGGCTTTTAGATCGATTGCCCATCACCGAGTACGGTTGTTGTCACCTCCAGTTTTTCAAATTGAGCTTTTACAACAGATCTCTCAAAGGCAATTAAACTTACAAAATTTTATACCAAGCTATGACACCAATTGTTGGTGTAGAAGTCTCAAAGAGTAATTATACCTAGATGGGGGTGAATTGGTATTTAAAAATTTCTTTGAAAATCTAACGATAAAATTCAAGACTTTTTCACTCAAAAATATTTTCTAGTATCAAAAACAATATTTCAACAATAAATCATTAAGCATAAACATAATATACCAAAGAAATGTACCTTCTTAAATTAAATGCTAACTATGAAAAATATAGTGAAAATATTTCCCAAGTGTAAAGCAATAAATCAATGCAAAAACTATTATCCTAAGGTAAATATAAACAACAAATAGTAATGCAAAAAATTAAAAAAGAGACACAAAGATTTTATAATGGTTCGGCTTCTTTTATGTCTACATCCACTCCTTTGGTAACCAAAGAATTTTCAATCCACTAAAAAGAGTCTTACCTTTTAATGGGATCAAGTGATAACTCTTACATAATCCACAGAGCAATTTTTACTTTTTCATGAGATCAAGTAATAACCAACCAACAATGGTTTTTAAAGGTTCAACTACAAACCCTCACAAATAGCTTTTCAAGGTTAAGCTAGAACCTTTACAAGATATGTGTACAAGGAGTAATAGCAAAGATTTTGCCTCACAAAGGCTAGGTGCTAGAGATTTTAGCTTGAACGTAGTGAAAGAAGAAAAATCAACACAAATGAAACAAGTATTCAACTTTGTAAGCTTGGTAGAAGGCTAAAATGATGCTACAAAGTGAAGATAAGCATTTGGAGGACAATTTGAAGCTTTGGTTCAAGTCTTCTCTTACTTTTAAATGGCTCAAATGCGGTTATTTATGGCTGTGGCAAAGTTTGAAGCTATTAAACACAAATTTGAATTAAATCTGACCATTACTGAAGCTTGAGGGTTGACTATAATGCTCTTAAGGCCAACTATGTTCTTCAAATTTCTCAAATTAGGGCTCTGTAGTCGAGTATAACCTTCAAGTACTTGATATTTTTCTCGAAAGTGTGGATTTTGCAAAATTGAATTGCTATAATTGACTATACCTCTTCTATAGTCAACTATGTCTGTGTAAGGTTAACTTTTTCCTACTTTTAACTTATCAAGGTTGACTATGCCTGGTCCAAGGTCAACCATGTTCAGTCAAAACTTGATTTTCTTGAGTTTATTGGAACAAGGTCGACTATGAACACTTTAAGGTCGACTATGGCTTTATAATCTTCAAGTTTTGCATTCTTTTAGCTTTTGGATCAACTCTAGCTTCTCTAGGATTGACTCTTGACTTGTGTCTTAACGTTTCCTTAGCTTTTTGGCACTTCTCTTCAGCTATTTCTTCCTACCTTGTTCCTACATTCAAATAACATTTCAAGGCATGTTTGCTATTACATTCTTAACTGAATATGAATTGTTTGAATTCTTCTAAAATGTTTTTTAAAAATGCATAGCTTTTCAAATAAATATGTAATCTTAGGGGATTAAAAATGTATTTGAGACAATTTCAAATGTTTGACATTAAGTTCAAGATAATATGTGATTTTTGTCAAATCAAAACATGATATAACTCAAGGCTAACAAGTAGGAATGGCCTTCATCACCTAGAATTGCAAGTCAATTGTACACATTATAATCACCTAAATTTTACATGATATGCCTTAATGAAATGTTATGTGAAAAGGAAAATGGAAAACATTAAGTGGCACTACTTGTACCGCTTATGCAAATCCATATAAGCTTTAGTGGAAAAGCTTAGGCTTTTTCGACGCCTCGACCTCGATCTCCACTATAAGAGGAACTTTGAACCTCTTGATATGTAGTTCGCAATCAACCTCCACACATAGTGACCCATGGGAACGCATTCCACACTCGCATGTCCTCGACCAATGCCAACAGCCATAGCTTCACCTGTCTTCTATAGTCTTGGTTTAATAAAATATTATTCGTGAGTAAGAGAAGGGCCATCTTTGTTGCGTCTCCTTGGCATACAAAGGTCAGTGGATACATCTCAAGCACTTGCTCTAGTTACACTTTCTTGTCCCCTCCCCAATATTTGTCTTGAATTCCTCCAAGGACGAGCTTGTGGGGATGTAAGAAAACATCCGTTATGGGGCTGAACTTCAATTTTGTCACAAGGTAAAACTCACCCTTTGAGAAACATGCCTTGGTCTTGCCTATGACAAACTAGAACTCATGTTTCATTGCATTGGGTTCATTAATTCTATGCAGCATGATATTATGCAGGAGACCGATGCAGAAAAAGCCCCGTGGACATATGTTTAGTAGCCTCCTAAAGCACATAGCCTTCATTGCATCGTACTCATCTACCTCACGAAGCGTGTTGATTATGTACTGTAGGTGCGCCCATTTACAGTGGGTGTTAATGGTGGCGTGGAAAGCCCACTTGTCCCTCGGAGCAACAAGCGAAGCTTCAAAGTTCTTGTACTCTTGAAAACCATCTGCAATAGAAAATAGTAATGCACATATAAACTACATGCCATGAACAATTATCCCAGAAAAGCTACATACCATTTATAAAATAAATAAATTAATTAATATTATTACACGTCATGCCAAACAAGTTAAATGTTGTTACACATCATGCTTAATAACTAAATTATTACATGCCATGCCTAAAATTCTTGAGCTGCTACACGCTAAGCCTAAAAATCATAAGTTGCTACACACCATGCTTAAAAATCGTAAGTTGCTACATGCCATGCATCAAAATCATAAGTTGCTTCGTGCCATGCCTAACAGTCTACGTTGCTACATGCCATGTTGAAATTCATAAATGATGCCAATCGCCATGCTTATATTCATCACTTAGGGAAATCCCTAAAGTTGTTACACACCATGTCCATATTGCCTCGATATATTACATGCCATTCTAACAACACTCGACCCAAATTGGCATGGCATGTAACATCTCTAGGGATTTCCTTGAACTTTAAACTACCACATTTAACAAAATCAATAACTTTAAACAACACGATATGCCATTTAACAACATAATCAATGAATGTGTCTACCATCACAATAAAAGAAATCAACATTGATTGACTTACCCTTTTACGCAGTTACAAACTTGTTGCTGTGAATGATTACTTTGCTTTGAACTAATTTGAACACTTTGCTAGCTTTGGGAATGAGGAATGAATCAAATGATGTAAATGCTCAAATGGCATGTAATATACCTGGAATTTGAGCAACTAAAAAATAAAAGGGGAGAGGAAAAGTTTTGCTGTGTAAAGTTGCTATGTGCTTAAATATGAGGAGGTTTCATTAAGGGTAATTTTATCCCAAAATATTTTCTCTTGGATCAAAACAATTAAAATGGCATGTAGCAAAATTGTTTTTTAATATGGTGTGTATCAGTAAAATTTTTTGAACATGACGTATAACAATATTTTTTTTGAACATGACGTGTAACAATATTTTTTTTAACATGACGTGTAACATTAGTTTTTTCGATATGGCGTATAGCTAAAGTTTAGACAATATGCACTCTAATATGAGGAGGTGTCTTTAAGGGTAGTTTTGTTCCCAAATTTTTTCTCTTATCTAAAAATAGTTAAAGTATGGGGAAGGTTATTTTCAAAAACCTCTTATCTTTGAGGGCTATTTTCAAATTTTGCCCAAAACTATTCCCACCCAAAAAACCTTTCACCCTCGGTGCCAATAGCTTGAAGTTCTTGTATGTTGTTGCTTGATCCTATAGTAACTGTCTACGGCAAGTATAGGTGATTGGAATAGTTCGTGAATCATCCAGAAAAGAATCTTGGAGTCGCTTTCTATCAGCTTACATTCTCTCTTCTGCAATATTGTGGGAGATTATGATGTTTAGGTCGTGAATCTTGAGATTAACCACCCTTTTGTTAAGCTTGAAAATGCTAGTATACAGTTTCCTTTTTTCTTCTTTAATTTGGCAGTAAAACTCAAATTTAGAGATTAGCTAAGATAGAAGTTCAAACTAGTTAATACAACCGTGTCTGACCGTAATAAGATTTTAGAGTAAAGAATGTCTTTGCCACTGCTTATGATGATAAAAGCTTAACATTATGCACCTGAAAGCTCTACTTTGAAAATTTCAGAATGTCAGCCTCACAGCCGAGGTATTGGAATGGGAATTTTTGAGTTGAAGTGCCGACATCAACTTGCGAGGAAGGGCTACATTTGCCTTGGGAATGCTGTTGATCCATGCTCAGATGATGAGTTGCTAGAAGCTTGTCCAAGAAAGACCATTCACCATTGTACCTCTCTTGTTGCACGAGTCCACAACCGCCACTCGATGTTAACCTCAATAAGTTTTGAGAGCATTCGATATCCGTGGAGTTCAAAGAGACAGGCGATATAAAAGAAGAAGCAACAGCTGATTCTGGGCTAAATAATTGCGGGAGGTGCATGGAGCCATCAAGGGAAAAATCATATAGTGCCTGCAAATGATTATGCCTTGTCTCCAGTTGCGCTGAAGAAGCAACAGTCTTGATGTGAGTGAAGCTTTCTTCTTGACTAAATTCTGGTTGAAAATTTCCTCTGTTATGATTCTTCTTCTTGAATACCCTGCAGACAACCCAGCCATCTTCCTGCTGGTCAACATCAACGACCATTAATGTTAATGATGCGATTACTATGAGACTAAATCATGCGGTTCGTTTTCTCTCTGGGTATTACCTGAACATCAGAATCATCATCGTCCAAGCGATACTCATGCATGATCCAATCAGTCTTCTGGCCATGAGGAGCCCGCCCCGTGTAGAAAACTAGGGTTTTCCTCATGCCAATTTTCTTGGAGTTGCAGAGGTGGATAGCCTTGTCCCTCCCCGTAGCCTTCCAAAAACCAGCTGTAGTTGCCCGATTTGTTCGAGTTCCTGTTGGATATTTCTTGTCCTTGTGGCTGAAGAAATACCACTCGTTTTGAGGGCCGGATCCAATTCTGCATTTATCTGCATGTTAAAAGAAGAATAAATAATAATAATTTAGAAAAAAAAAAAAAAAGAGAAAGGCGTTAGCAATTAATCATGGATTGATTCACCTAACAAGACGTCAAGATGAAGAAATGATCTGACCTTTGAGGTCCCAAGGCTCAAGTTTGTTGAGATCCACTTCCCTGATAACATCGAGGTCGATAGCTTCATAGGAGACCTTCTTCCTCAGGTAATAGTACAGAAGCTCCTCATCTGTTGGATGGAATCGGAAACCTGGGGGAACTGATAGCTGCCCATTTCCTGGCAACATTTTATTTTCCACGGTATTGCTGAAAGAAAATACGTGTGTGATTAGTATCTTCATCTATATGTACTTCTGCATGCCCTGCTGCACTTAAAATATCTGTTAACAAGTAAGAGCCACAGTCCACGAGAAAACGTCTGAAGTCACATGTATAAAATGTTCAGCCATTCATATATATATTTACTAACAGTCTTAACTTTCAGATGATAAAATAAATCTCTCATTGCGAACTGGAGAACTTTTAAATTAAATTCATATATGATGTACTTTAATAGATAAGTAGTAAATTGAAGAAGAAAGAAGCGGACTCGGCGACAGCAAACCAGAAGGAATTTCTATATGCGGTGGGTAGAAACTGCAGACAAAAACAAACTCAGACATCTTTACGTACTATATTTTGTATGACAATATTCACCAAGCACCACAAGCAGAACAAAAGCAAAGCTGGACATTGCAGTAGCCATATATTTGTCTTTGAGGTGCGCGAAAACCAGGATTGCTACTACTTTGCGAATTAAAGAAACAAATAGAGAAGCAGTCATATGTGAACCTTGTTGGGCTCCTCATGAGTTAAAACCAGAACCTCTATAGCTCAAATACCTGTATACTGTTTAAGTCCTGAACCATGCTGTTTGCTAGCTAGTAAGAGGGAAACGGCAAGAAGCTCAAAAACCAGGAAAAGAAACCCTAAAATCTAACGACTGCAGCCGCAGTCCAACCTGATAGCTAGTGTCAAAAGGAGGAAAACTGAACTCCAAAGAGCAACAGAAAATTACAAAAAGGGAGAAAAAGCAAACCTTTTGCGGTTGGAAGTGTGTGTGGGTGATAACACAAACAAGACAAGCCACGGAGGAAAAGCAGGCAGCGAGGTGGTCGATTTCTTACCTTCAAGGGCACGATGTTTGGCCTTTAAGACAGCCAGAGAGATGTGGATCAGTGCCAAGATTAAGAAAGACCGACAACCGAGGATGGGCTGGGTCCAGAAATAAAGACAAATAAGATATATAGTAAAAAAATTATATAGTATACGTATAGATAGAGAGAGAATGTGTAAACGTTCACTCACTCTCAATTTCTCATGGGTATGAATAGGCTTCGGGAAATGTCCGTTGAACGGGAGACCTTAGTCCTGAAAATCGCCTCATTAGAATGAAGAAAATCTGCACAACTGTCAATAACTCATATATACTTAATATTTAATTTCTCTAGTGTTCCTCTTTTTATATTAGACGTAGCATTATATACACAATCCATCGGTCAGAGTCAGAGAGGAATGAATGAATTCCCTCCTGCGTTCTGTCCCTTTTATTCCACCACCTATATGTATTTGCTAATCCTACAATCTTCTTCCTTTTACTCTTATCTTTCTTTAAATAAATACGCCGGACTCTCCCATCCCCAACGCAAATAACTACAAATTTGATTCACATTGCCTTCAAATTTCTCTTTTAGTCTTTTCCTTTGTTTTTCTCTTATGTTATAATAATGCATAAATCCCCACAAATTATTGCAGGATTAAATCATTTCTTTAATATTACTATTTGTCCTTGGCTCAATAAATGAAAGATACAACTCACAATTAAACTGGACATATCTATAATCTAACTATGATATATATTTTATATCTATAATATATATAAAAGTATGAACGTTGATAAGGCTTTTGATTGACAAAAACATCTTTCTCCATTATATTTTTAATTACTATTTTATTTTTTTTATTTTCAATTATAATTATTAAATAAAAATTTTAAAATATATTCATGTATAGATAAGAATTCTAATACTATTGAAGCAAGGAATGAATAATGAATTTGAAAAGATCCATAGGAGATAGTAAGGTTAATAGAGAAGAGCTTTTGGCAGTAAGGTTAATAGAGATAGTATACTGAAGCTTGTTTAGGCTAGGCATGCCCCTCACAAGATGGGCGTTTTTTCTTAGAAATTGTTGTTGGGGAAAAGGGCACTTGCCAGAAAAGGTTTAGTAAGCAATAGGGCAACTTCATGCACACTCCATAATAAAGATCTCAGAACTGTTAGTCACTTTTCTTCACATGTGCTGAATCATGGAACGTATGGGCTCTATAGTGCGATGCTTGAGGCTACATGTGGATAGCCTAGAATGACGCGAAGGCTTTTTTTTTTCTCTGATGGAATTTTAACATTCTTAAAAAAAGGGATGAAAGAATTAGGATATGGCTTTTTTGCTATCATTTGGTCCATAATTTGCTATCATTTGATATTTAGATAACAAAAAATGATTTTTTCAAAATTTAAGGAGTACGTTTGCTATGGTAAATGAGAACCGCAGATTTAATTTTAGTCTAACTTTGTTATTTTGTTCTTAAAACCAAAATGTAGATTTTGGTTCTTATGGATTTTAATTTTTTTCATATTTTTATTAAATTCAAATGGGGTGTTTGTTTATTTACGTTAAATATCTTAAGTAAATCGAGAGTAAAAGGCAAAAGGTAAAAGTGAGAATATTTAATTAAATGGTATTTAACGTAAATAAGCTGGGTAATTTTTATAGGCAATCTGTCTTAGAAACTGCATTCTGTCTCAAACATATTGATATATGTTCATGATGTATTGATACATGTAACCCAAAAATGGTTTTTGATGAGCATGTATACATGTTTATAATGTATCATTACAATTTTTCCATAACCAAAAATATCGATACATTTTGTTAGTTTTTTAAAAAAATAAAAGGAGCGAAAGGTTTTCATATCCCATAGTACAAATATGACCCATACCCCAAGGGTTTTTCATTCTAAGCATCCTCTCATTAGTTCTTTAGCGACTTTAAGCTCTGTCAAACCCATTTTCACCCTAAATCATTAATTTGGAAGATTAGAATCTTGGTTCTGGATTTTTCAAACAAAGGTGACACCTCTCAACTTTTGAATCAAGATTTACGAATTTTTTAGCACCAAAAATATTATTTTTATGCCCAAATTCTCTGTTGAACACTAAAGCTCAAAGATTTTGTGATTTTTCTTAGTATCCAAGCTCACTTAAGCTAAAGATGAAGGATTTATGGGTTTCTAAGCATTTATTATGTTAAGTAATAGCGGGTTTATGTTAGAAAACTAGTTTTAGATGAACTTGGTGAGTTTCCAAAAGGTTTATAAAGGTTATTATGTGGTCTATAATATGAGCAATAATGCTATTGATTGTTTAATGTTTTAGGAACGGTCAAAACTCTAAGGAATTTACTGGAGTAAAGTTTTGCTTGTTGGTAGAGGTCAACATTTCAAAGGTCAGTGGATACATCTCTTCAAGTATTGTAATATGTAAAGTGAGCATAATTTCTATGGAAATGATTGTTTATGCATGACAAAATATTGTTTCAAATGATGGATTATCAAAGGATTTGACTTTCAATGTTTTCAGCTAGATTTCAAAAAGTATGATTGAAGGATTTGATTTGATGATGATTTATTATGTGTGATGACATAAATGAATTTCAAATAGTTTGCTAATCTACTATGTGTGTAAATATTCAACTATTTTATAGTTTTCAACAAGGAGAGACAAGCCTTTTCAACCATTTTATTTCAAAAACTTCAATTTTGTTAAGATGGGGGTTGAGAATTAAGTTGAGACTCATGGATGTGTAGGTGGAGGTAGACATTCCCACCCCTAAACTTATGATATGCTTTATGTGAGTAATATTATAACATGTGAAGCATAGTTCTCTGGGATAATATGTGATGTAGTTTCACATACCCTATAGGAAGGTTAACGATGTAGTATGAGTTTACTTGAAATGATTATGTGCTAAAAATGTATTGATATATGAGATAATGATTTGTATGAAAATGTTTCCTAACATTTTAACACAGTGTAAGGCAACAATCCACATGCAGTAAATGCGTCTAGTATAATTGCTCATGGAGTTTCACAAAGTGTGAGGCAACATTTTCACACATAGTGAATGTGTCTAGTATGATAGATGATGGCATTCTACATGATGTGAGGTAATATGCCACACGTGGTGCCAATGCTCATTTATATGTATGGAGCCATCCCCACTACATGATGGTGACACTCAACGTGAGGGAGGCAAATGTGCCACTCATTAAGGCTCAGATATGGGAGCCCAAACATGTGCCAGGACCTAGTATATTTACCAAATGTTATTAATAAAACTATTTTAACCATAAATCTTGTTTATTTCTATTTTGATAATAAAATAATAAATATTAGTATACACATAACAAATTTATATTATTTTGATAATAATGACAATAATATTTTAATAGAATAAATTTTTTAAAATTTTAAATACTTTAATAATAAATATCAGTATTTTAAATATTTTTCATATTAATATAAATAATTTTTTAATCTTTTAATAAAGTATTACTATAGTTTTATCAATATGACTAGTTTGACAGGAATGCAAATTTTCTAGAAAACAACCAAAGAATGAAAAATAGCTTTCATAAAATTTACCCAAACAACAGTAAATATGAATATTTTCAGAAAATTATTCTCTGAAAATCTATTTTCTTGAAACAAACGTAGCCTTAGTATTTTCATTATAATTATTTTTTTAGACCAGACAATTATAACAAAGGTCACTAGCAAGTATATAAAACCTGATATACAGTGGCAATCTGTTTGGGTGGAAGAGAATTCTTCAAACTCAACTGTCATCCATGCATGTAATTGATTTTGAAACTACTTTAAGCACATTGACTGAGTGTGTACATATATGTATATATATATATATGTATATATATATATATATATATATCCCATATTCATATTCTTCCAACTGCAGGCAAATAGTAGTATCCTTGAATATATAAATACATATATAATAAGGGCATGAAATTCAGTGCGAAGAGTAGGTAAGCATGTTGAGTTCTTAAATCAAACAAAAACATGTGATCGATTTATTGGGGAACTCACTCCGCTAGCTATGCGTTGCACTGCACGAATTACTCCGTCCAGTATGTAGCTGCAATGATCACTGTATATAATCTTCGGTGTCATAAGTTTATACTCCTTGGAGCTTTACTTAATTTAACCCTAAGCATAATTAGGTGAAAATAAAGTTGATGGATATTTAAAGTCCAAAGAATATAATAATTAGAGGCAAGAAATTAAACAAGCTAAGCAAGGGTCATTATGATTAACGAAAAGGTATTTACTTGTTTGGGTTTCAACTTATTGACTTGGTTAAAAGACGGAAAAATCCCCACAAAGCGCATGGTGATCCAACACACAATCCAATGCCTCGGTTGACTTGACATCTAGTCTTTAATAAACACATGCGCCAATGCCAAAGGGATTCTCACGCAACCTCACCTGCCTCTAAGTTGTCTTCAAATTACTCACTGTCATTTCAGCTGCAATTAGAGAGAAGTAATTAGACCAAGCTATTGATTATTAGTGGGATTGGTTGCTGGTCAAACACGCTGACGGGAAACCAGATTTTGGGTTAATTTGATACAATATTATATCCATCTTTTAATTTTAATTTCCCCAAAAAACACAATCTCATCTCTGCTTATTTGCTATATCCACAGCTGCTGTGCCGTTGCCTTCACGAACACTTGTACGTATTAATGTAAGCTGGCATAATAATGAGGAAGGGAATCCTATGCCCATCACACGTGTACATCAATTAACCGGTTTCATATGTTTTCTTATTCATTACCTGCTAAAACCACATGATGTATATATATATATATATATATATATATATATATATAGTAGAACACTCACACTTCCTCAACGATAATAGGAGCAATGATCAATGATAGGTCATAATATCAATAGCACACATATTCTTAATCCATAGAAGAAAAAAAAAGATGAATTTGGATTCTAAAATCTTTATAATAAGAGCAATAATCAATGATAGGTCATCAATTTTTTAGAAAAATTGAATTAAAAGAACCATAAACTCAAATTGAGCTCTCGATTCAATGATGCATGGGTTGTGGGTCCCTTCTGTTGCATGTTTTAGGACGGATATTGATTTTAACATGCATATTGATCTAATGAATGTTTGGATGTAAGGGAAATTATAAATCAATAATAAATATATCTAAAAAGTAAGAAATAGGTGAAACATGCAAATAGAAATGATTTTATATTAACTTCATAGGTACATGGAGAAGGGGAGTAAGAGCTCTTTTGTTATAAGAGCATGCTTGCTTTGGCTGTTTTCACTACAAGAAATTTAGATTTTTTCGATGAAATTTTCATGTGACTTTTTACTACAGGATTTTCAACAGATTTTCAACGGAATAATTCCAATAGATAAACTCCGTTGGAAATCTATCGGAAAATTTTTTGGCACAAAAAAAAAATATTGCCTCCAAACGTTCCAATGAAATTTCAGATGGATTTTTGTTAAAAATTTCTAATGGAAAATAATCCGTTGGAAAGTAAGAACGCATAGAAAAAATTTAAAGTCCAGTAGAGTTTCCAACGGAATTTTCCATTGGAAAATTCTGTCAGTATTACTATTCTTTAAATTTTTTATTTAAAATATATTAAGAATTTTTTAAAATTTTATTAATATTTTATAAGAAATATATTAATAAAATCAAATATATACATACTGAAATTTATAATATTAAAAATATAAATATGTTTTCTTTCATACAAATAGGTGATAAAATTCAATAATATATTAAACAAAAAGTAATAATAGTTTATTAGTAATTATAACCTTTATTAGTAACTTTATTAACTTTATTTATATGATTGTATTTTAATAACGTTATTAGTAATTATTATCTTATTTTTTATAACATATTATTTTTCATAACATATATATATAATAATAAAGTAATACATATAAATATGTATTATATAAAATTAACATATTAGTGATTAGTGATGAATAAGGACTGTAGATATCGAAATTCAGGTTGAGTTTAATTATTTTGAGTAAAGACTTGATTAGGACTTTTTGGTTTAATTAGAAAAAAGTCTTAAGTTAAGGGGATCACTAGAGTGTATGATTGAATATGACACAGGCAGTAGGGAAATACTTTAAATGGTTAGCTTTTGGTAATAAACTGTAAATGATTAGCTTCTAACTACATTCATGATAATTGGTGATTGTAAATCAAAGATAGTTTTATAATCCTTTAATTGTATTATAGGATGAGAAGTTATTATGTTAGATACCTAACATCTTAAAATTGGATATTTTGGGTGCATTGGGTTATTTCATGTTTTTATTTTTATGTGTAATTTATAAAATCATATAAAATTATATTATTTTAACTTTGGTATCAAGTAGTAAAATTGCATACTTTTTAAAAAAAAATTATTTATGCCTATTATAAAAAGGTAATTAATATTTTACAAAATGATAAATTTAGTTAATAATTAATAAATATTATATTATAAATAATAATAAAATAATATCAATTTTGTTCATAATTTAATAATAATAAATATGTTACATTGTACATTAATGTCAATATGTTATGAATTTCTAGAGATTTTATTATTATTATTAATTATTCATTAAATAATAAGTATAATATAAATATATTAAAATTTATTTATATTTAAATTTTAGGGTTTACGATTAATAAAATATAAATTATTTAGACATTTGTTGATATAAAGACTATAGAGGTTCAAACTTGTGTAAGGATAAATATGACATGAGCTGAAAAATATAAAAGAGATCCAAAGACTTATTCAATAGGCTGGATTTAAGCCCACCACCCTTAGACTTTCCCTAATGGGCATTCATGGGCTAGAGCCCTGCTTATTTTTACAGGACATTAATTACACTAAATGGTGTCCGGCTCTTTCTTTCTTCCTTTCCTTTTGTTCTTTTGTTTATCAATCCTTCTTACCTCTCTGTAAAACCTGGAAAAAAATCGCTCCTCCTCCGACGTCGTCCCTATCTACCGTCGACCTATCTGCGGCCTCCCTTCACCTTTCCTTTCTCTTTGAACCAAGGTCTAAAGAAGGTCTAAAAGATAGCAAAACCCGAAGCCAACAACTCCTGAAGAAAAGCTGAAGCCCCGCCTCCTCGACTGTGAACCCTCCAATCTCTCAGCAGGGACGTTTTCCTTTTGTTTTTGGGTTCTCGTTTTGCTTCAATTTTTTGTTTTTTTGTTTGGCTGATTGTGGCTAGAATTTCATAGTTTTCTTGGGTTTGTGATCTGTGTTTTGCTTCCTCTTTTCACAGGGATTTCTCTCCCTTCGATTTGGGCATTGTCTAGTGTGACTTTGATTTTGGGACAGAAGTGTGATAGACCTGATGATTGCTGTTGTTGAAGGTAGCATTGTTTGAATACTCTTTCTGTTTTTGGTTTGTTGCTGCTCCTTGGGGTGTGTTCTGCTTCTCTTGTTTTCTTTATCAGTAGATGAAAAACTGATGTGTTCTTCCTAGATTCTCAAGCCAGCAGAGAAAAAATCAAAGTTCATGTCGACTAAAATGTGATGGTTGTAGCTATCAATGTATAATGGGTTACAATTCTTTACCAAGGTCAGCTGGATACTGTTGTTTTTTTGTTCCTCTCTTTTATTATTGATGATTGTATGGGTTCTGAGTTGCTAGTGTTCTTGCTCATCAGTGCATACCGATATAATTGAATATTGACTTCCATGACTTTGCTCTAGCCTTTAGGGTCTAGGAATATGTGGTTGTGATTGTAAGAATGAATTAATTTAATGACTTGCCAAGGCATTGACAAGGTTCGCACTTCACCCCAAATTGTGTTGCCAATTTTAATGGGTCAAGCTGTGGTCGATCCTGTCATTTGATCATTACTTTTAAGGTGGAATAAATCAATAGGTTTCAGATTGAAAACATTAATGGGATTAATGTTATAATCATGGTTTATCAATGTGCTTAATGTTTTCATGATTATAGTATAAGGATATGATATGAGAGGGTGTCATTTTCATTGTACGGCTTAGACATGGGAAGATTAAAGCATATCTAAATAGGTTGTCAAGGTCATTTTGAGGATGATAGCAAGACCTATACACCTCCACAAAATGGTATCTTCATACCATCTTGACTATACATGGGGGCGATCTTACCTCATTAAGAGGAACCATAGCTTAATTCCCAATTAATTAACCCTAATAATCACTTGTTTCCCTTTCTTGATAAAGATAGCAGATGCTATTGTTTTTTGAAAGATTAGTGTAGTTCTAGAAATGGAAATCATAGTATAAAAAATATAAACAACTTTTAATGAATTTTGGATCTTTATGATATGATATTTGTGGAATATTTCCTCATTTAATTAGAAATCCTTTCTCAACATGCCCTATAAATTAGTAATAAATGAAGTAATTAATACCCATTTCACTATCAATATTATTCATTATACTCCATTAAAAAAACATTATTTGTTTACATTAACCTTGCAAATACTTTTCTTTTTTATGAATGTAGAAAGAATTACTTAATTATACAATTGGACTGCCTATATATCTTTTGCTTATAGCCCCAACCCTTTTTAGGCTTCAAACTTTGATTGTGGGCCATGAGAGATAGGTGTCAATGCTTGAGAGCCCACTAAAATGTTTTGATCTTTAATAAGATTTTATAGGCCTTGGGATCAAATCTTACAAAGTGGGCTAAAGTCCATTGGTTTAATGACTTGCCAAGGCATTGCCAAGCTCCATTTGTCAAGGCATTCATGAAATGCGCATAATTACATTTGATGATCCAAGTTCATGAACAAAAGAAAATATCTTCTCATATATAACTAGCTCTCTCTTAAGATGTAGGTTGAAGGTTGTCTAGATCACATGAAAGTAAAGAATGTTCAAGAGTAAGAAGCAGACTATGTCCTTCTTCGTTGGTCCCTGTATATGTAATGAACTTGTTATGTTTACGTGCAGTTGTCAC